AGTGAATGGACCTTGCAGGATTGGAAGTTGCTTTGGAGAGTCAGTGAGGGAGCAGTGAGGGAGTGGCAGAAGGCCGCACAGTACACCACGTGCTCTTCAGGAAGACTGCACTTCGGCTACCCTAAATTTATACTAATATGTATTTTTTCAGGGGGCTGGAGGGATGACTGTTGCTCTGGTTTCCAAAGACGGCAGGAGGTGGTCCGGCTCTTAGAAGAGAGAGAACCCACCTTTTCTCTGCCTTTTTGTTCTGCTGGGCCCTTGGATGGTGCCCTCCTACATCGAGGGAGATCTTCCTTACTCAGTCCATTGATTCAAATGCCAGTTTCTTCTAGAAATACTTTTGGCATTTTGTCCAGAAATACTTCTGTAAAGCTAGCTATGTGGGTATTCTTTTGTCAAGGTAAAACCTAAGGCTAACCATGAAGGTAACCGTTTGTAGGTACAGCCAATCAAACATGAGTTCTTACTTGAATTTCCAACTCCTTTGTTACTTTGTTGATTATTCCACTTTCAGGCCTCACTGTTTGACTCTTACTTCAGTGAGAACCCGGGCTCTATCTCCATTGTCCTTTTCCTTGATGATTCATTTCTTGTGTCCATCACTTGGGAGGCAGAGGAAGATGGCTCTCTATGAGATCGAGGCCAACCTGGTCTGCATAGTGAGTTCCAAATCAGCTGGGCCTGCAAAAGACTAGTTATAATTCATCAGATAGTAGAACTGAGGAAATAGTTCTCTGGTTGCATTTGTGTTATTCACACTAGGACTTAGGCCATGTCTTAAGGTTGGTTATAGCTGTAGGTTCCAGGGCTTTCAGATTTCTCAGAGGTCTTTGTTTTGACCTTCCCTTTTGTCTTTGCACTTCATGAAAAATGTCTCAGATAGTCTGAGACTTGTAACTCTTTACCCTCATCCATGGTCATTATACTAGAAACTTCTGGGGTGTTGGTTTGGTATTGGGAAGGTATGGGTTCTATAAGTCATAACAATGGACCTGTGACCTTCACAAGTCCATACCAGTGAATGACCAGTTTCCTGGTCATTCTCACCTCTCTCCTTTGGGAACAGTAAAGCCAGAGAAGTATAGGAGTCAGACAGTGCTCATTCCTTAGCTTGGATAAAGCTCTGGCAGTTTCTCCCTGGAAGACTAGCTCTTTGCTGAGGAGCATACTGAGGATGTTGCATAATGGTTTCTCTTCTCTTCCCCAGCCTGGTGATGTTCCTGGCATTAAAGTCCATGCAGTTAGGGGTTCCCTTAGGACTATAGTCTTGGGACTTTCTTACTCTCATGCACTTAGTCCATACTCATAACCCAGCAGCTTACCAGCATATTCCTATAATTTATGGTTTCAGTACCAGGAAGTCTACCCCAACTAAGACTCTGGATTCTGCTGGCTGTCTCTGGATTTTGAAGTTATGGTTTGACCTATGAGCTCAGTTCTTTGACTCCAAGAAAAGTCCCTAATTCTCAGGCGGCTCAGCTTTTTTCTTGTGTGGGACGACTTCCAAGGTGTTTGCGTGGAGGACCTGAAAGTGGAAGTCCCCTTGTAACTTTCTGCTTGCCACCCACCCCATCATCCCACTAGTTGAAGAGGCTGGGCTGACATAAGACATCCTGACCCTTCAAAAGCACCTGAATCTTGTAGAGGGAAATAACACAGTTTCCAGTCAAAAGTCCCTGGTCTTGTGTGGCTGCACACCTCCCTTGCTTCCTTATTTCCATGGTTCCTAGAGTTCCTCAGGAGGCTGGGGGGAGTAGTTCAGTAGTAAGTGCCTGTCTAGCATGCATGAAGTACGTGGTTCAATCTCTAGCACTGCTAACTCACTGTGAGTTCCATAGCAGACATCTTACTTTGAAGTGCCAAGAGTATGTGCATGTGGGGATGGGTGGGGACATTTAGCTTGTCTTCTGTTCTAGCTTGTTTCTCTATTGCTGTGACAAAACACTCTGACCAATACCAACTTGAGGAGGAGAGGGTTTATTCGACTTACATCTCCCAGGTCACAGTTTATCAGGGAGCCCAAGGTAGGAACTCAGGGCAGGAACCTGGAGGCAGGAGCTGGAGCACAGGCTATGGAGGAACACTGCTTACTGGCTTGCTCCTCTGGCCCCTGCTCAGCCTGCTTTCTTAATGCAACACAGGCCCACCGTCCCAAGGGTGGCACCACCCACAGTGGGCTGGGCCCTCCCACATCACTCAACAATCAAGAAGATGCCCCACAGGCCACAGGCCACAGACAGTCCAATGGAGGAAATTCCCCAGTTGAGGCTCCCTCAACCCAGGTGAGTCAAGTTGACACTGAAGCTATCCAGCACATCTTCCTTCATCAGCTTCTCTATTACTCCCTCATCTTTGCTTTGCATCATTTCATTAGTCTTTGGTAAATACATCTTTAGCCCTCACCCCCAACAATTACTGATTAAATTCTGTACTAGGGGGAAGCCCCACTCCATCAGAGAGCTCCTGCACTCATCTGGAATGTGGGAGCAAACCAGGAAGGAGGCATGGATTCTGAGTGGCTAGAGGAATGCTTGCTATACACCCCTTATGCCTTTTTAGCATCCAAGTAAATAATGATAGTAATGGATTATAACCCAGTGGATACAACTGGGAAATATGATGGTATAATCATAAGTGAATAAACTGAGTATTTGAGGAGTAGGAAATTAACAGTTTTGCCACAGGATGGGTCTTGATTATGAAAAGGAATAACTTTATAGTGCAGAAGCTGCAGCCATTTAAGTAAGCGTGTGTGTGTGTGTGTGTGTGTACCCATGGAGGCCAAAAGAGGGTGTCATATCCCTTGGAGCTGGAGTTACAGGCATGTATGAGCTGCCACAGACTCAGACTCAGGTCCTCATGATAGAGCAGCAAGCTGCTGAGCCATCTCTCATCTCTTGAGCCCCAAACAACCAGTCTTAATCATGTAACTAAGCAAACATCACCAGGAACAAATAAAATCGTTTATCTGAGAGTGTGTTATGGAAAGGACCCTTGTCACTGTGGTTACTCCACAGACTGATAGCCTGAATCTAATTGTGAGTCAACATCAGACAAACCAAAACTGTGGGACATGCTACCAAAAACTGTCCTGTGATATCCAAAAATGTCAAGGCCACAAGAGTTGTTTGAAGTAAAATCTGAGATCCAAGGACCCCACCAATACCTCAGAAAGAACACGAGAAGAAAGTGAAAATAACTTGGCAAGGCAGATTTTATTTTTGCAAAAGGGTGTATTATGTGGTCATTCAGATCCAGCAAGCAAGAGTGTCTTTTCTCCATTGACTGGGGTTCAACCCCAGTCTTTTCTGGTTGGCTAATTTAAAAGAATCATTGCAAAGGGAGTGGGAGTGGTGTGGGCAGGTATTGCCTCAGGCCATCAGGTTTGGGACTGCATCAGGACCTTTCCTTAAAAGTCTTGCAGGGTATGGGAGAGATTAAAAGATTAGAATTCCTCATCATAAACCAAGTTTTACAGGGTTTGAAAAAAAAAAGGCTAATATTTAATGTTTTTTTCTTTTTACAAAGTCAAGATGTTCCTAGATGCCACAGAGCAAAGAAACACAACAGCTAAAACAGTGTGTGACTGCACTGAAGCATTGCAGAGAAGGATAGTGCAGATGGGTCTCCACTTCCAAGGACTAGACTTGAGATTAAAAAAAAACTGTAATGGTGTAAAGGTGTTCTGCATTCAGTAGAAACTACTTGGAATTTGGCTATTTTTCTAGATAGGTGCTATAATCCTTTTATGATTCTGGGCAGTGGTAGCTGGCTTCCAGCTTCCAGCCAGTCCCAGGGTTGTGTCTCCCAGAGGAAACAGGTGGCACCTACAGTTGCTATGCTGCTGAGTCGGATACTCTGTAGTTTGGTTACATGTAGTCAGTCAATGCATTTTTGACTTAAGATGGGCTCGTCAGGGTCTACTCCACGGTAGGACTTGAAGAACATTTTGTCAGCATAAGGAATGTGTCCACATTAGTTTTTAAAATTTGATGGTTGTCCTGCAGTTATATAAGAAAATGCTGTTGTTCAGTATTTGGGGAAGATGGGCTTGTTAGATCAGTAACTTTTTCTCTAATGATGCAATTTTTCTTCACCTTTGAGGTTGTTAAACAGGAAAATACACATTACTTGCCTGGGAATCTTGGACCCCTATTCAGGGCCCACTCATTAGGAAGTGGGTAAAGAAAGGTGAGGGTCTTAATCTTTCAGGCAAGAACAGATGTGTTTGTTTGACTGCCCTCAGTTCTGGGTGCTGTTCCTCAGAGCAGAAAGCCAGTCCTTCCTTCCCATGATATAGATGCTTTAGAGTCTTTGAAGGACTTTGATGGGTTTTCTTAGTTGCTTCTCATAGTCCTTTCTAGAGTGGGCAGAGATACCATTCCATATTTGGGGTGAGGATCATGATAAAATAGTAAGGGCAACACAGTACTTTTTATGGGTCAGGCAGTACTTCAAGTAATAGATATGGTAACTTGTTTAACTCTTAACAATTGCCCTTAAGAGGTAGGGAGGCAGAGGCAGGCGGATCTCTGTGAGTTCGAGGCCAGCCTGCTCTACATAGCAAGTTCCAGGCCAGCTGGGACTATGGGGAGACCCTGTCTCAAAAAGATTAAAAAAAAAAAAAAGAGGTAGTATACTATGGTTATTTTATTTTACAAACAAGGAATATTGTTGCACAAAAGTTACCTAAAGTCACAGAGCTTGAAAATGGTGGAAGCAGGGTTCAGATCAGAAAAAATCTGACTCCAGAAACACCACTCTTATTTTCTAGGCTGTGTTGCCTTAGTTGGCTTAGGTGACTAACTGATCTGAGGCCCACTCTTCTTTTACTGACTGAACCAGTGAATCAGAACTGGATGCCTATAGGAAATGGATGGAGCTCATCTCTTGTGTGATGAAGGATGCATGGGAGTGGGCTGGTATGTGTCCCCTGCCTGACCTGGTTTGGCCTATCCTGGGCTCACAAATACACTTTCTCCTCTCTCCCTTTGAAGGTCGCCTAGTGGGTGCCCTGGATGCAGTACTGGATTCCAGTGCACGGGTTGCCCCGTTTCGAATTCTGCTTCAAGTTCCTGGGTCCCAGGTGTATTCTCCCATAGCATGTGGTGAGTTACTGAATGGATCAGACGTTTACTGGGCCATAGCTACTGGTGAGTCTTTTCCAGTTGGAATGTTCCAAACCTTATAGTGGAAGCATGCCAAGTGTCTGCATGTCGGTGAAGTTTGAAAGGTAACCCCTCTGGAACCCTGTCTGCTTCAGAAGTTCTCTTCCCTCTGTTTTCCTTCAGTTACCTCCTCCCCCTTCCCATTACCCTCTCCACTTTCACTTCCTCCTCCTCTTCCATCTCCTGTTTTTTCTCCTCCTCTACTTCTTTGTCTCCCTTTTAACCATCAAAATCACATAAAGGCCGAGAACTTGGGCATGCCAGGCTTTCGAGTCCTGTCTGAGAGCACTCATGTTGATGCATACGAATTGAGCCATTTTCTTTGTAATCTTGATTCTGACTTAAGTGTGCCCACAAGTGTGTACACCCGCTGTATTGATAAGGGGACAAAGTCTTAGGACTGTATCTGACTTGGACAGTGTTCACTCCTTGTTCCACATATGCATCAAGAGAATGAGTTGTTGGGCTACAAGTTGCTGAGGGAGTTTAGAAATCACCCACTTTTCTACCTGAGGTTCTGTTCCTCCAATAGGCACCCCCTGGTGTTCCATTGAGCCCCTAAGTTCCTCCAGGATGGATCCTTCATAGCCCAAGAACTATTTTCTGTTCTAAACAAAATAGTATATTTTCTATACAAGTAATATGCCTTATTATCATCTGAAACCCTTCATCTAATCCAGTGTTGATCTTCTGTGTACCTATATGTGTGTAACCATACATCGTTTAGCTTTGCTTTTCTCTTAACACTGTATTTGGTACTGTAAACTTTGCACATCACCTCCTGTGCTAACCACACTGAACTTTTTCGTTGGAAAAATGACGAAAGTATGAATAAACTTCTCTTTCCCATCTGCTGCCTAGTTCTAACCACTGCTAATATCTTAGTGTGCTCTTTTCTACGCTGTTTTATTTTATAAACTAGGGCAGATAACTCTGTATTTATTTGGAATGATTTTTTAAAGTGATTTATGTCACAGAAGCTGCGACTGCATGCATAAGACCTGCACAAGATCAAGCAGCCAAAGTCCCAGTGTGGACCTGGGAAGGGTTCATGGAGCTCCACTCCTCACTGAGGAGCTATTGGCAATGGATGGCTGCTGGAGGAGGGACAGTCAGTTCTCTTCAGGGATGCAGCTCATGAGAGGCTGCCCAGGTTCCAGGAGATGGTCCTAAACCATACACATACACGTAGCACAAAGGGACTTCATGGGATTTAAAAAAAAAAAATCCCATGAAGTTAGGAGGCACAGGTGGTAGGGATAAAGAGAAGGGACGGCAGGGGTTGGCACTGCCGAGGGTCTTTTCTTGGCTCTGTTTCTTTGCCAGGTAAAAAAATTACAAGACAAGTTTATAGTTACAGCACACAGCTGAGGCTTAGTGAAGCAAAAATAACACTCAACACAGCACATAAAGAGACAGATTCCCTGAAAGCAGAGGGGTCCAGCACTGGAGCATTGCCTACCCCCTAGGAGAGTCTAGGCTTTTATATTTTATAGGGTGGGGGTGGGTGGGACAGGACTGGGCTCTCCTTTCCACCTTTGGATTCAACAGGGTAGGGTGCATGTGGCTGGTTGGTCCACTCATATGAAAGCAGGAACCTGACTGGGTAAAGCAAGGCCAGGAAGAGTGAAATTCCTGCTAGAGGGAGTCTACTGACAGGGAAGGGTGGGAAGCCCACCAAAAGGGCTGTCTTTGGATAAGAACCTGAAAGTGGGCCATCTTGGATGAAAGTGATGAAAGTCAAAGTAATTGGAACCCAGCTGAATCTAGTCTGGGGCTTTCTTTTCTATCTGCCCAATTTAGAATTATCTCCTATTCTTCAGAATGGAGGGCAGATTTGATCAAAACACATTATTTGCATGTATAAAAATTTTCAAACAATAAAAAATGTAAAAAGTGATCTATGTTCTTTGTAAAGAAATCAACATTGAAAAGTACAAAGAAATCTGTTGTCCCAAACTCCAGCCACTCTAAGGAACTTATACTTACACTAGGTGAACATCATTTTGGACAGCTTTTTCTTTTTTAAATATTTTTTGTTATTTTTATTTTATGTGTATAAGTGTATTGCCTGCATGTATGTGAGTGCACCCATGTTGTGCAATGTTGTGGACATCAGAAGAAGGCTTCGGATTCCCCTGGAACTGGAGTTAAGGACGGTTTGTAGCCCCAATGTGGGTGCTGGGACTCGAACCCAGGTCATCTGCAAGAACAGTGTTCTTAACCACTGAGCCATCTCTCCAGCCCCCCAGTTTGGACAGCTTTTTAGTGGGTCAGACAAGGTCAGTTACAGAGGTGGACAGATGGGCTGTTATAAAATCTGACTTGTGTGACAATGCAGCTTTATAATGAAAGTATTTCGTTTCAATAGAAGGAAAGAAACCAAAGTGAAACTAGAAACTTTGTTAAAACTTCAAATACATGTTTCTTTATCACAAGAGAGATTATTTATCTAGAAAGTTCAAGTGAGGTTAAGGTAGGGACTTTTGCAAATATTACAAGGTTAGAATTGCAGTTATTAAAAACTGTTTCCGTTCTGCCAATGTTCTCTGATGCCCCGCCCTATAGGACAAGAATGCAGCATTCTTGGTCTCTCCTCTATTTCCCTTTTTTAAAAGAGCTGTTAGTTTTATGTTGTAATTCCCACTGAGCCATGCAACTGTATTTTCCATTATGGTTATTATTTGGTGTATGTGTTTGCACACTTTTTTTGTAGGCTAGAGGTTGATGTCAGGTGTCTTCTGTCACTCTCCACCATATATTTTTTTTGAGACACTGTCTCTCACTGAACCTGGAGCTTGTGGAGTGGGTTAAACTGGTTGGCCATCAAGCCCTAGGTATCTGCCTGTCTCTGTCCTACCCAGTGCTGAGGTTACAGATGTGCTGCTGTGCCCAGCTTGTACTTGGATGCCAATGATCTGAACTCAGGTCCTCATGGTTGTGTAGCAAGCACTTTGCTGAGCCACCTCCCCAGCCCGTTTTCCATTATTGTTTGGCTCAGTTCTTCATGTTTGTTGAACACTTCTTCTACTCATGATTTTTTCCAAGCCTGGAATCTTTTATTTTGGTTCATTTCTTAATTGACTGAATTTCTACTTTCTTCTGAATACTGTCTCATGGGTGTCCTCTTCTGTGAATATATTCACATTTGCACATGTCTGCCTTTGGTTTTTGAATCTGGGATACTTTGACTGGGTATCATAGTCATAGACCACAGTCTAGAGCTTGGAGTTAGCCTCGGGGTCTTTTAGTATTTGATATGATAACCTGGACTTCAGGTTCATCTTATTGCTCCCTCCCTACTTGTGGATTATATGCTTTTCATAATGCAAGTCTGTGTCACTGACGGAGAATAGCGACTAAAGCTGTTACTCTAAGAAGGCCGCTTTTTGGAACATGGTGTGTTCTTTCAACTAGTGATCTCTTTAATTGTTGCAGGATAACTTCTGTGTCATTCTTCATATAAATAATATTTTAAATTTTATTTTACCTGACATTTATTGCATCCTTCCCTTTAAAGACATTTTATATTGGATAGCTATTGTTTGTACTTCATTTTGGCATTTTTTTATCTTTTTTAAATCTCTGCTCTCCATTCTATTCAAAATTCTTCCTTGAAATAATAATTTAATCTTCAATAGTATATTCTGAACCATTCTACTTTTAATGTAGTTTCTTTTGCCTTTTTAAAATTGTGTGTGTGTGTGTGTGTGTGTGTGTGTGTGTGTATTTCGTGCATGTATGCAAGTGCACCTGTGTCCTGCAATGGCCACAGAGGACCGAAGAGGATATCAGATCCCCTGGAACCGGAGTTATGGATGGTTGTTAACCGCCATGTGGGTGCTGGGATTTGAACCCGAGTCTTCTGCAAGAGCAGCCAGTGCTCTTAACTGCTGTGCCATCTCCAACCCCTAACTTACTAGTTTCTCGTGTTGTGTTTTGATCAGCAGTTGTCTCCAGTCTCCTTTTCACCTCTTCATCTCCTCTGAGAGTGCTTGTATTGAACTCCTGCTCTCTGTACTTGGAGCATGAAGTGTCCATGAGCATCTCCTTCTGCTCTGGACCCTTCTGTCTGCACTTGTCTACTTTCTTTGCTGCTGAATGTTCGTGTGCTTGCTGCCTTGCTCTTTCTTTTGCTGGTGCTTAGGGACCATGACCTCAGATGCTTTGTTGGCATAGCATAGTGGATCTTTTTGCTTGTTTTGGGGGAGTAGAACAGAGAGGACTAGATTGGGGGCGGGGTGAGACAGTAGGATACTCATCTTTCCTCATAGCTATTCTGGGGTGCACTCTACCTCAAGTGAAAGACTGGGTCTCCCTCTGGATTTGGAGCTTTGGATGTGAATATTTAGGTTTTTGTCTCCTCTTTAGATTGGCTTCTAGGAACTCCCAGAAATGAGGTAGGAGTCACCCCACATCTCTGCTGTCTTCATATATGTACATAATGTGTTTCAGACATGTTCACACTATGCTGCCCTCTCTTGCCTTTTTCCCAATACTGTTAATCTCTTTCCTTTTCCTAACCCCTCTTCAATTTTCATGTCTTTTTCTTTTTTGAGGGGTGGGGCGCTGAGTGGACTACTGCACTGTGACAAGCTCTGGGGCCCTGGAAGGATGAGGCTTCCCTGTCATTACAATGTGTGGTGGTCTCCACCAGACATGGTCTTGTTCTGCACTTCAGAAGTCCAGCTATCCAGCCATGCTGGGCTCTGTACTGGCTGTTCTTATTCCCATGTTAGATGTAGTTATGTCCTGATGGTTTTGGTCAGCGGTCCTTAGATTGATGCATTGTTGAAACACACATCTTACTCTTCACCATGGCCCTGTACACAGAATGGATTGTTGTCCTTATCTGATTTCTAGGAAGCAGAAGAAACATAGACAAGAGTGGCAGGACTTAGAGTTATCTGGCTAGAATCATCTGAGACCAAGTTGCTTAT